ATAAGGTTATATTAGACCACACACAGGCAGCGGTGTATCATGTCACTGCTTCTTAAGCAGAACTCTCTCATTTATTTCAAAGGGAAGTTCTGCTTCAAAATTGAGGGTGTGATATGAACTCAGAAATTAACACAAGAATTTTCCTTGGGGGGAGCCAAGGCTGAATCAGACATGTAATAAATGACCTTGGAAGCCCTGTGCCTTGGTACATCCACCTATCCAACATTATGCTTTAATAGAAAAAAAATTATTTTCACCATTATCCTATTTCAAGCTAGGTGGAAGAGCTGGAAGAAGTGGATTCGCTCTGGTCAGGAGGGAGCAAATTACTCATCTGTCTGTCTGCCAGGACGTCCGCCAGCAGCCACTGCACTCCTAACGCTTTCTGCTGGGAACGTAGCAATTTTCGGGGACAGAGTACCATCCCAGTGAGGTCCTGGATGCGAGTCCTGCTGCCAGGGATCCTGGCTGGGATGCTGCTGGGGATGTTTTTCTCCTGTAGCAGCCAGCACTGCTGGTAATGTGCAGAGCGGCTGTTGGCATGCAGCTGCCCTCCCTCCATGCACATCTGGAGAGGGATGCAGCAGCCACACATCTCCATCACCAGGCAACTCCAGGGAGTTTTGCTGCTGGTTTCAACAGGATCAGAACTTGAGACCGGAAAAAAGCAATACTAAACTCCTGCCCTGACAGTGCAAGCTAGGACAGAAAGACTTTGACACAGAAAGCAGCTGAGCTGCAGATTTCCTTCCGCCAACTGCTGCAGGGGCAACAGCCTCCTGCAAAGCAATGGAGCAGCCTTGGGGGAAGGGGCTGCAGCAGGACCAGCCATGTCCCAGGGCTCAGCTGCTGCCACCAGAGCTCCTGTCTGGCGATGGGCAGCGGGAGACTTTCAGCTCTGTGCTTTCTGACCTCATGACAGACATCTGGGACCTGTGGCCCCAGGCCAGCAGTAACCGCACTTTCATCTTGCCCTGCCCAAGGGGACGTTTCAAACCCTCTGAACAGGAGCCCGGCCGACCACAAGGACCAGGCTCTGAACATCTGCATAATTTCCTAGGCCTGCCGTTGCATCTGGGGTCTTGGGAAGGTACCACCACCCTTCTGCTCCCACATGAGCTCTGGTTAGACAACTTAATAATTAAGGAAATTAGGTAGTGCCTATTTTCCAAGGAAACAGAGGTCCTTGGACCTTGTACCTCTGTTTCTCACACAGACAGAAAGTCCAGTCCCTCAGCTTTATATATAAAACATTTTAATTCTGCCTTCACACGCCTCATACGCTCACTAGACGCAACAGAGGTGTGCAGGAGGTGTGAAGAGCCCTCCCAGGAGCTCTGCCACCGACTGCAGTGGGGAGAGCTTGTGCCCTTCATACTCCACAGCATGGCTTGTTCCCCTGATTTTTAAACCTATTTACAAAAGGAACTTAAAGGAACTTATAAGTGCTCCTTCTACCATTTAACTACCACATGGTACAAGATGTAACAATGTTCAGAAAACCCCCTCCGGTCTCAACTCAATTATACAACTGTAGCAAGAAAAATATTTTAATCTGATCAAAGTGTTAACATGTTTGACCATGTCTGACCTCTAATGTTTGCAACCACCTAAAAGGCTGATGTTCTTACTAAGGATGTACCTTAATTTGATTTAAAGTCATTTGTACTATTAAAAAAAGGATATAGTTTTATGATTTTATATTTCATTTAGAAAAACAGTTCCTCAACTTCTTCATAACCTTTCGAAGTTTCTCGCAGATTGTTAATCAGCAAATCCTATATATTTCACTCTACAAGAGTAAGGAGAGTGAAAGCAGACTTGCGAACCACCATGCATGCAACACCTCAGAGCCGGGTGAGAAACAGTTTTCTTGGTGCCTTGCAAAATTGTGAGATTTCAGATGCGTGCAGGGTCTGCACTGAGATGCTCTTAATGCACTTCACTGAAAGTGTGCCGAAGGGGGTTCACAGCACGCTCCCAAAACACGAGACACCCCACTGCCCTGTCCTCAGCTCCAACAGCACCTTCCCCTGTACACCCTGGCCACCCCCAGTCCTCCTGACTCTCTTTGATGGCTTCATTGCCAGTCCAGGCTCCTTGTGCGTGCTCATACCAGCATCGCTCCAGCTGAATTACCCTGAACTGGCATTGCCCCCCTGCAGCAAAGGTGGGCCACCCAGCCAAATGCTTGGGCTCTGCCCGCTGTGGGGTGACTCCTGTCACATCTCGCTGCTTGCTGGGGACATTAGCTGGGCTTGGTGTCGCTGCTGAAGTCAGGTACTAGGGAATGTTTAGTGCATCACTCCTGAGCGACACCAGAGCATGTAAATAACACAAGTGGGTGTGTTTTGGTAAAAAGAGATGATTTTGGCTGGGGAGGTGCGGGCAGCCCAGAAGGACACTGGGGTGAGCAGTGTAACAGTTAGCGGGCTGCAACCACCTCGAGGGAAACAAAGCAAAAGTGATGCTGCTGAGAAAATCAGAAAGAAGAAAGGAAAGCAGCCCGCCGGTAACGCCGGTAGCGACACACCCACCCAGGCAGGCACTCTGGGCCGGCTCCGGCGCCGCTCACGGCACCTTGCCAGGGTTTGGAGGAAGCCCACAGAAAAAATATGCGGTTTTACTGTGCGGCGCAGGGTGGGGGGCTCAACCCGCAGCTTGGTGCTGGCCACCCTTCATCTTTCAGGGAGTCGTATGGTATTTTTCAACCAGTTAAATATAAAGCCTTGACAGTTTGCCAAAGCACTCCTGGGTTAATTTTTTTTTTAAATTTATTTTTTAAGACTCTGAAATTAATCCTAGCTGCAAACAATCGTTTCCAGGAAGCCCCATTAACCAAAACACAACCTCCACTATCGAGTGCATGCATGATTCTGATACGTCCCATTCACTCACACAACTCTCCTCCCCGACTTTACTTGTCCTAAAGTGTTAATTAAACACACTTTTAGGGATGGCTAAGTGTCTGAAATCTTTGGTTGCAGATCTAACCTCCTCAATTATTGGAAGTAGCCACCAGATTATAGCCCACACTTTATACAATATACACAGTAGCAATAAATCTCTATGAGAGCAATATGTAATTTACTATGATAACCTTTGCACAGTCAATATAAATACAAGACAAAATTTTCCAGAAAGATATATCAGAATAGCTATAGTACCAAGTCAAAAAACTGCAAGACTCGCCTTTATCTGAGGAAGAAATCTTCCCGTGTCTGTCAGGTAACAGATTCTTAGCTGAAAACATCAAATCGGTTTTTTAAGTCGCGCAACACAAACCACCGCAGGACCCGAAGAGGGCTAAGTAAAGCCGGCTGAGGCTGGGGATGATTTCTGTGGCTCTCAAGGGGATGAGATTATTCCTTCTTCACTACTCAGTTTTCTCCCCATCAAGTTCTGCACAGTCTATTTACTCCAGTCTGTTGCTCTGACAGCAAACTCTTGGGGTTTTATTACATTATCAAGAGGAAAGGCGATTCACAAACCACAAGCTACTTTTTAGCTTAATTGCTAATAAATAGGCTATTGCACTTTGTTGCCCAGCTAGTAAGGTTTTAAGATTAAAAGATTCTACTACAGCAAAGAGTTGCTCGGCTAATGTCACTCTGAATTTACCCAGATCCTATACAAGTGAGCAAACTAACTGCATTTAAATAACACGAATTTAATATAATAATTTAAAATTAGAAGAAGATAGCAGCTTAGTATTTTACAGGAGTGAAGGGGATACTTGGTACCTGGGGGAAGGGACACGAAGTGGGAAGCAACAGAAAAGATGCTTCTTTGGATTACAGTAATGCACGTTGGCCCTGCTTCGCAAACACATCTTCTCTTGCTGTAAACTGCAGGAGGACTTCTAAATTTAGGGACAGATCCTCAATATCTGCACACCGACTTCGGCAGAGTTACGCAGCAGGGGAAACTCTCTCCCCTCAGAAGGGCTGTGCTGGGTATGGGCAGGCTCTCGGGGGTAACTGTCCCTGCCTGCTGCGGGGCCGGGGGGGGCATACGGCAGTGATTCCAGTGAACAAGGCACTTGTTCACACCTTAACTGCAGTTTCGCACTCCACAATCCATCAATTTTTCGCAACGCCAGTTTAACATCCTACTCCTCTAGGGAACAAGGTTTGAAATTAAGGACGGCATCAGATACCCCTTTACAGGTTAAAAACTAAAACTGAAATGAACGGAATGATGGTTCATTCTCATTTACTGACTGTAAATGCTGAATAACATCCGAAATGAATGCAGTGATGCCGGCTGCCCAGGAGCGACACGAGCACTACCTGCTGCAATGTCACGACATTCTTTTCATAAGTTCTGATAGAGACGGTGATGGGAAAATATATCTTCTGTGGAGAAGCCTTTAGTTTAATTATTCTGATAACAAAACTTATAAACATTACAATATACAGAATTACTAAAGCTGATTTGACCCGAGGGGGAAAAACTTTACAAGAGGAAGGCAGGAATGGTCCTCCAGCGGCATTAAGCCTTTTCCTAAAAACCTCTATTGACATTTTAAAAGCACAACATCCACTTTCTGGCCCATCATCCACCATAGAGCCCCAGCCGAAGGCAGGCCGAGCCCTAACTGTGTCACAAGCAGACACGTCGGACTGAAGTTAAGCTGCCGGACATATCCCTGAACACCATCGCCAAAAGCTGCTTGCCTCCAAAGCCTGCGTCCCAGAAAAAGGAGGCATCCTTACACCACGTACTAGGGTTCAATTGCTAGAGGAGTAAAGGTGAACCTAGAGGATAGGGAGACTGGAAAGGAAGCTCCTCGAGCAAATTCAGAGCTAAGCAGGCGCCTGCTGCTGAGCATCTTTTCCCCTTCCTACTCCTTCTCCCTTTGACACCTGGACATTTTAGAAACAGGGCTGCAATTTCTCAGGAAAAAAACCACGTGTAGGTGCCTGCACAATACCTGCAACATATTTCAACAGTGAGAGAGGCCGCAAAACTTCTCCATAAGGAGAGGCTGAACTCACCAGAGGTGACATAGATCCATTTGGCAGGTAAGGGTCTGAGAGCATAAGGAAGGGGTAGCCAGAGTACGCAGATCCTTTATACATCCCTGGGTCCTGATGCTTCATACCTGCCAAAATCAAAGTTTCTCATCAAGATTCACCTTACGACAGGTGATTTCTCTGCCTGTTGGGGGGGCCTCAAAGAAGTTACAGCACATTTTAGAAGTCTTTCTGCCCTGTACTCCTCAGGGAGGGTGTTGGGGGAGTGTGAGGGTCCCCCAGGGCTGTGGAGTCCCACAGTGGATGCAGTGGGAATCATCAAATCATTAAAGTTGGAAAAGACCTCTAAGATCATCAAGTCCAACTGCCAACCAAACCCCACCATGCCCACTAAACCACGTCCCAAAGTGCCACATCTACACATTTTTTGAACCCCTCCAGGAATAGTGACTCCACCACTTCCCTGGGCAGCCTCGCTGCTGACAGGAGCAGCTTTCCCGGGGAGGGCAGGCTCCGGTGGCCTCCAAGCTGGCATCCCTCAGTCCCGGGGAGTCACAGGGCTCCCGGCTTGGGGACCGGTGAGCGCTTGGCTGGACGGGGTGAGCCGGGAGGCGGCTGCAGGGACCGGGGATGGGGACACAGATTGAGACGCGGAGGTGACAGCGACTAACCATCATCCATGTGGTCCGGGAGCTTGTCCTGATAAACCCTCTGCGGATCCTGCACACGCCT